AGACTCGGCTAAATACGTTTTTTGAGGTTTATCGTCAATGTCGATGTAACATCCGTATATTTTAAAATATGTGTCCTATGCCCCATTCTTCTTTCAGTTTTGCGTAGGCTAATATTTCCTTGCGAAGACGTCGTAACTTTTTGTTTCTTCTACGCTCGAGTAGGATTTGCCTCGTAGCCAGTCGAATCACGTAACGCTGTATTTCAGGAGGTAGTAGATCCCAGTAACTCTAAAAGATAGAAAGTCTCTTAACGTCCGCTATTCTGTGATAGGCATGATTAAACCCGTACCCTAAATATATTTCTTTCTTATTGTTTTGTTCGTCTCTGTAGAATCCATACACGACCATGTGCTTATTTTCGAGTCCTGGAATTCTTCCTTTGGAACAATAATCTAGCAGACATGTATCTAGCTTGACTTTGACGGCGCCTAGTCCCCATTCTGCTTGGACCTTTCCGAAGGTCCGTATCTCGTTCCAAAGGTCTCTCCACGATTCACGTTCACGTCTCTCGATGAGAGACTGGGACTCTCTAAGGTGAATAATGTAAGTCTGTATCTCAAGGGGCAGCCAATCCCACCGGCTCTAGGATCAAACGAATCGTATGCACTGAATAAATCATTCAGGTTTGAGAGAAATACATCGCGGATCACGACCGGTCTCGGTCTGGCAATCCAATCGCTCATTTTCATTTGTCTTTCAAATTCCATTTTCTCCTCGAAGGCGAGTTGTGACTCAGCGAGTGAGATGATGTAAACTTGGATTTCTGGTGGCAACCAATCCCAGTAACTCTATGAAAAGAAGGTGATGAACAAGGCATGACAAAGATGTCGTCCGAATTTGTAACCGCAAAACACAACGAAACAAAATCTCAAGTCCAAACGAAGGTAAATCTCTATGGGAGGAGTTACTAGTCTCAGTTCCATTCGTCCAAGATGGGCACGAGCGCACTTAGCATACACAACGAGTGACAGATCTGGCAGTACAACTTCTCTTTGATCACCCCCTTGTTCATCTGATTACCGAGTGCCTGGGTGTAGCAATCGTAGTGAACGTAGTAACGACAACACTTGGTCCTAGCGCAGGTTTCGGTTCTAAGTATGGCTTGCTCGCATAGGGTACACGTTATATTATCCATTTTTCAGATACTCAGTGCTTCCTCTTCTTCATGTTGGTCCATCTGTCGGTTCATCTCCTCGTCAGTGATCTCAGCCATGATACAAGTTTCAGAAAAAACTCAGAGTGCCGTGAACGGTTCGACTCGCTTGTTTTATACGCTCGGTGAAACGGGGTCCAGTCTCCGACCATGTGGGGGGCGTGGTAGGGGGATACTCCCTATCCCCTGAGTCTACCTGTACACGTGACTTCGGCTTTTTTCGTTTGATTGGTGTATGATTGACATAAAGCGAGGTGAACGCATTCGGCGTTTTTCAGTTTGGTCATGTCGACTGAACCTAGACGCAGCCGCCGCCTTCGACGTCTGTCACCCGAAGAAGAAGAACCGAGACGATTACGTCGTCGTCGTGCGCGATCACCCGACGATGAACCACCGAGACGTAGTCGTCGCCTTCGGGGTCAGATACCCGAAGAAACGCCGCTTCGACAAGTTTGTTTTATTTGTCGGAGAGATATCCACATTGTTTCTCTGGCGATATGTCAACGTACTCCTTGCTGCGGTGTGTTCATGCATCGACGTTG